GTAAGTCGATTTACATGCAAGTTGAAACACAATGCAGGATAATGAAAATCAACAGTTTGTAAATACAGGAAATGTTTGTATTAAAATTACACCTCTGTACTGGATCACATTTATGGGGGGTTGCTGTTTGCCAGTGTCGGCAAGGGGTTTTTAAGCATGAATGGCAGGTAGCAGGGAGATGGGAACCTGAGCATGGAGACAGTGAATGGGGAAACAAGGATAGAAATAAAATACAGAAAATTAAGAAGCGAAAGTGGAAAGCAGAAAAAGCGAGGGTGACAAACAATTAGGGCCATAGTACAAAATAAGATGATAAATAACAAGATTAAAAGGACAAGTCTAAAGGCATTGTATTATAATGCATGGAGCATCTACAGTAAGGTAGATGAATGAACAATGCAAATAGATACAAATAGTTATGTAATTGTTGCAATTAAAGGGACATGGCTAAACAGTGATCAAGGATGGGAATTGAACATACAGGGATATGCAATATTAAAGAATGACATACAATAGGAAAAGAAGATGAGGTAGTTTTTTAGCAAAGTAAAAATGAATATAATAGAAAGGAAGGACACTGGCTCAGAAATCTGTGGAACCTGTAAGTGTTAGGATAAGAAACAGCAAGGTGCAGAAAATGTTGGCACGGGAGGTTGTCCAAAAGCCCCCAAACAGTGAAAATGCAAGGGAAGGCATTAAACAGGGGACTTACAGACCCATGCAGCAAAGGTGATCATGAGTGCCCTTAATCCACACATACATTAGACAATCAAACAAGAATAATAAAGTGGACCAGGATTTCTTGCAGTGTATATGACTTGGATTTTTGTAACAATATGTTGAGGAACTAACTAAAGAACACGCTGTTTTAGACTGGGTACTGTGTAATGAGAAATGATTAATTGGAGGGAAGACAATGACCTAGTGGGATTTTACTGGACTATTACTCTAGAGACTCAGCCAATGATGCCATAGCAGGTGGTGGAATTTGAATTCAATTTTAAAAATCTGGAATTAAGAATCTACTGATGACCATGAATCCATTGTCCATTGTTAGAAAAACCCATTTGGTTCACAAATGTCCTTCAGGGAAGAAAATCTGACATCCTCAAGCTTACATGTGACTCCAGAGCAATTCATTGCCTTCATTGCAAGAGGATTTGAGTTCAGAATTAGGGATGTCTAACTGCAGTTGTACAGGGCTTTGGTAAGTCACACCTGGAGTATTACGTACAGTTTTGTTCTCCCTACCTAAGGAAGGATATACTTGGCATAGAGCAAGTGCAACAAAGGTTCACTAAGCTGATACCAGAAATGGCAGGAGTGTCCTATAATGAGGGATTGGTTTGACTGTGCCTGTATTCACTAGAGTTTAAAAAGATGAGAGGGGATCTGATTGAAATGTATAAAATTCTAACAGGGCTGGACAGACTGGATGCAGGAACAATGTTTGCACTGGCTGGGGAGCCTAGAGCCAGGCGTCTCAGTCTCAGGATACAGGCAGACTATTTAGGACTGAGATGAGGAAAAATTTCTTCACTTGGAGAATGGTCAACGTGTGGAATTTGGCACCACAGAAGCTATGGAGGACGGGTCACTGAGTATATTCAAGAAAAGGATAGATAATTGTTTTCTATAATTAAAGGCATCAGGGATACGGAAAGAAACAGGAATATAGCATTGTGACAAAGGACTTGCTATGATCATATTGAAGGGCACAGCAGGTTCAAAGGGCTGAATGGCCTACTCCTGCTCCAAGTTTCTATGTTTCTATGTTACGTGTGACTCCAGACCCCCTGCAATGTGGCTTACTCAACTGCCCTCTAGGTAATAATGGATGGCCAACAACAACCTCACTTGAACAAATAAAACAAAAGCGCTCTGTTCTTTTTAGCAATGGAACTAAACAAGGAACTCTATATTGGTTATTGACGTAACAATAAAATCCATCAGCAGACAACCAAACACCAGATCTGGTGCCATGATCATCATTCATTCTTCGTTATATCTGAGCACATGGCAACATGGAACACAGCACAGTGCCTGATGCTACAGAGACTGCAGAACCACCATCGTAAGCTCATACAACAGGAAGCCCACAGGGGAGTACAGAAATAACAACACTTCCCATACAGTGGGCCATGACTCTGTCAGTGTCTCTGGAATGGCAGGAATGTACATCCCAATTAATCGATGAGGTATGTCTGGCTCTGCACAAACAAGCTGGATGACTGAGGCCATTGCAGCCACTAAAGGTGACAGCTTTGGTCTCACTGTCACTCCTGTTGTCAGGGAAAATCCACCTGTATCCACAGAGTTCACAATTTAGTCTTTAGTGTAAACCTTCATGATGAACACTGTTATTCACAAAAAGTAAACACAAGAAAAATAACACTGGCATTTCATGACCACTGGACGTTTGGAAGTGCTTTAGAGTGAAGAAAGTTTAGCCACTGGTATAATGTAGAATATGCACTAGCCGATTTACACACAGTCAGGTCCCACAAACAGAAAGGTGAAAATGAGCAGCTAATTTGTTTTTGTGATGATAATGTAAGAATTAATCAATAATCAACCAGGGATAACTACCGTGATCCTCTTCAAAGCAGTGTCATGTTCTTTTTGTTAACCCAAATGGACACTTGGGGCATAAGTATAATGTTGCATCCAACACTCCAGCACATTCAACAGTGCATCACTCCTTCAGCACTTCACTGCACAGTTAGCTTTGACTTCTGCATTCAATTCTTGGTGTGAGAGCTCCTAAATCCAGAACAGTGTGACTCAGGAGTGAGAGTGCAACAACTGACAGATATTCAGAGTAACTACATTCAGACAACAATGACATTGTTAGAAAATATGATAAATCTTTCTGAATGTGATTTTTGAAATATTGTACCTGCACACAGATGCTGTCGATATATTTCTATACATATGACTATTTAGTCTTCTTTGTCAGGTACTTTTTATTTAGGATCTTTGTACCTGTTTTGTTTCTCACTGGGTCCTCAATGATTTTGGAACTCCCTCCTAAAACTTGTGATCTCTTTGGCACCAAACTCTCCTTTCATCTCAATATCCACACTTTTTTCAAGTACACCAGTGTCCAAACTCACTTACCTGACAAACTCCATTCACCCAAAAGCCCTGTGCTGGCAACTCATTAAGCAATGCCTCGATCTTAAAACTTCAAATATATTATTTGGCAGTGGAATACGCCACTTTTAAACTTAATACCGAATTGATTGCGCAATGATGTGCTTTATCCCAGAGGATCTTTGATGAAATCACTGCTCATTAATCTCATTACACTCTAAATGTGAAATAGTTTTTGGAAGATTATCACATAAGTATTTCATAAATCACCTTCCAGACTGCATTTGCCAATTTGATTTGGCTCTGTCTACAGGAGGATTGAAATACTCTACAAAATTGTCCTTGTTATAAAGCTCCAATGTTTCCTTGTTTAGTACCCTGGTCAACTGCAGAGGGGATCTATGAAATACTACGACCAGTGTTTTTTGACTTTACTATTCCTAATTTCGTTCAAATAGATACAATTTCATGCTCGTCAGTGATAGAGAGAATTCGAGTGATAGAGAGAGGGATAGAATAAGTGAGTGTTGAGAGAAAATGGGAGTAACTGGGAGAGTTCATGTGAGACTGAATGAGTAACAGGAAAGTAGGTGTGGGGAGGGAGGGAGCGGGTGTGAGAAGTATTGAGCGGGGAGGATGGGTGGGGCACAGAGAGAGTTGGTGGGGTGGTGGGAAAGAGGAGAGTGTGTGTGGGAGGGACGAGTGTATGAGCCAGAGGTATACTCAGCTTTCCTCTCCCTTCTCCAAAAAAAATCCAAAAAGCAGGTTGGGAGAGGACAAAAAACTAGTCTGAAAGGCAACTGCTTCTGACCCCCATTTTGCTATGAAGTGTGCAGAAATCAGTTTGGAGTCTGCGCCACCTGAGAGAAATCTTCGGTTTGTGATGATTAAACCTAACTTCTTTGAGTAGCCCAAGCCTTTCCCTCGTGACCAGAACTTGGACAAGCCTGTCTTTCTCTGGCTCTGCTTTGCAACTGAAACATCAAAAGAAGATTTAGTTGGTTCAATATGTTCCTTCGCAATTATTCACGACAGAATATATTAAAATTAGTCTTGTACTTAAATTATCATATTGTTGCTTTGGATTTATTTAAGTTCACAATTATTAATGTGCCAAACCTTATATTTCTGAAATCTGCTGAGTGAGATAAAATGGACAAGCCTGCTGCAATAGGACACAAAGCACCTAGGGAGATTGGGAATGACTAAACAGGGGGATGCAGGGCATTGCTTTGAAGTAACTATGGGAGATATCTAGGAACAGGCAGCTGAGCTTTACCTCAAGTCACCAGAAGCTGAATGTCATCTCCTTCTTAGATCTTCTTTTCCTGGCTTCCTTTCAGTATGCCCCATCTCTCTTTCCCTCTTCTACTAACACCATGATATCCTCATCTCTTTTTTTTAAATTGCTACATCCCTGCTGTTTTTTAGGGATTTCAACCTACTTCACAAACACAGCATGCAAAATAAAATCAAAACAACCTAATTGGAACCTAATTAATTGAGCAGAATGTGACAAACAACTCACTTCACTAGTTGATAATAAAACAGCTTCTTCTACTTGCCCATTATAGGTTGTACATTGTTAACTTTATCCCCAAAATTCAAAGAAAAGCCAATAAGTTTAAAAACAGCTTAAAGCCTATGAAAACACTACACATGATGCAAAATCAAGGAAATGTTCGAATTGGATCCCCATACATCAATATGAAATGAAAAGGAAACATTCAACCATTGGCACAATATTGAAATGCTGCTGAATAATGAAATATAATATTGTTCAGGTGAAAAAACCTCCAGCAAACCCAGCAGCAACATCAAATTAACGAGACGTATAACACCACTGCATATGAAATATAAAGTTGCAGAAATTGCTTTATACATTGCCTAGAGGTAAAACTCACCTGATTTTGCGACTGCCCCTCGGCCGCTCTGATTGTACAGACATGTAGCTTGTGCTGCTGAGGCGTGAGGCACTGCTGGTTCGCGAGATGGCTGACACATCACTGGCATCACTGTCTGATGATTTTATTGAAATATTATCAATGCTTCTGTTCTGATCCTTGTACAGTAGATGCTAGAAGTGAGGAAGGTAAGAGATCATTATTAATTTTAATATCCGCACTAATGAACAATGTCATTTATGGACTTCAGTACTTGTGTGATGTGTACAAAGGCCATACATCCGAATGATTGGCTGCTCAAATCAACGTGTATTTCCACTTGTTCGTAACAGGCAGAGTACAGGCCATATTCAACCAGCTCACACTTGCAGAACGCTAAACAAAACCTCTACTGTTAGATTTGATTCTGTGATCAGAGAGCAGTCACTGAAGAATCCAGAGTCTGCCAATAAATACGCTAAAAACCAGTTTAAGATTAAGCACTGAGCTTGCAACATTTACACATTCTCTACTGACACCCAATCACACCCAGATTTTCTGCAAACTAAAGGAAATGCCTTTTTGAATTACCCAGGAACTTAGGGAATCTATCCTAGTTTCTTGTGTTAACTCCACAGCAATGCCTCAGGCAATTGGAGTTCCCTTGCTGACCAAAAAGCTGCATTATCTTCTATAGTACAAATTGTTGCGATGGTTTGAAATCTGGCATTCTTGCATTTGTCCTGATGAGTGAAAAATGAAAAGTGTCAATTTCATGTCTCTCTTTTCAGCAGTGTTTAAACTTGTCTTTTGCTTTCCCCTTCAGACAATTCTAAGAACCTGGCATGTTCCTTGCTTGTTATCTACAATTATTTATTCCTTAACTGGTGCGGTTTTTTTTGAGACCAATGGTCAGTATCCTCACTATAAGCAAATGAGAACTAAAGGCTTTACTGATTGGCCCAGGTTAACAACACCAATCAAGAACCTCATTGTTAATGAGGTCAATGTGGTCCCAATCACCACAAAATCTGAAACAAAAACTGAAATTGATAGAGAAACTCAGGTCTGATAACTTCTGAGGAAAGAAAGCAGAGTTAACATTTTGGATCCAGTGACCTATTTTCAGAACTAATAATAACTAGGAAAAGGTGGATATATTACACTGAAGAAGTAGTGGGGTAGGAAGATGGAAGGAGTAAGCGATACATGGAGTTGGACTCCAGAGGGAGTCCATGTGGGAACCTGCAGCCTTTAAGACTCGACAGAGTTCAATAATTTTAAAGAACAAAGAACAAAGAAAATTACAGCAACAGGAACAGGCCCTTCGGCCCTCCAAGCCTGCGCTGATCCAGATCCTCTATCTAAACCTGTTGCCTATTTTCCAAGGATCTGTATCCCTCTGCTCCCTGTTCCCATTCATGTATCTGTCGAGATACATCTTAAATGATGCTATCGTGCCCGCCTCTACCACCTCCGCTGGCAACGCGTTCCAGGCACCCACCACCCTCTGCGTAAAGAACTTTCCTCGCATATCTCCCTTAAACTTTTCCCCTCTCACCTTGAAATCGTGACCCCTAGTAATTGAGTCCCCCACTCTGGGCAAAAGCTTCTTGCTATCCACCCTGTCTATACCTCTCATGATTTTGTAGACCTCAATCAGGTCCCCCCTCAACCTCCGTCTTTCTAATGTAAATAGTCCTAATCGACTCAATCTCTCTTCATAGCTAGCGCCCTCAATACCAGGCAACATCCTGGTGAACCTCCTCTGCACCCTCTCCAAAGCGTCCACATCCTTTTGGTAATGTAGCGATCAGAACTGTACGCAGTATTCCAAATGTGGTCGAACCAAAGTCCTATACAACTGTAACATGACCTGCCAACTCTTGTACTCAATAGCCCGTCCGATGAATGAAAGCATGCCGTATGCCTTCTTGACCACTCTATCCACCTGCGTTGCCACCTTCAGGGTACAATGGACCTGAACACCCAGATCTCTCTGTGCATCAATTTTCCCCATGGCTTTTCCATTTACCGTATAGTTCGCTCTTGAATTGGATCTTCCAAAATGCATCACCTCGCATTTGCCTGGATTGAACTCCATCTGCCATTTCTCCGCCCAACTCTCCAATCCATCTATATTCTGCTGCATTCTCCAACAGTCCCCTTCACTATCTGCTACTCCACCAATCTTAGTGTCATCTGCAAACTTGCTAATCAGACCATCTATACCTTCCTCCAGATCATTTACGTATATCACAAACAACAGTGGTCCCAACACAGATCCCTGTGGAACACCACTGGTCACAGTTCTCCATTTTGAGAATCTCCCTTCCACTACAATTCTCTGCCTCCTGCTGCCCAGCCAGTTCTCTATCCATCTAGCTAGTATACCCTGGACCCCATGTGACTTCACTTTCTCCATCAGCCTACCATGGGGAATCTTATCAAACGCCTTACTGAAGTCCATGTACATGACATCCACAGCCCTTCCCTCATCTATCAACTTTGTCACTTCCTCAAAGAATTCTATCAAGTTGCTCAGACATGACCTTCCCTGCACAAAACCATGCTGCCTATCACTAATAAGCCCATTTTCTTCCAAATGTAAATAGATCTTATCCCTCAGTATCTTCTCCAGCAGCTTCCCCACCACTGACGTCAGGCTCACCGGTCTATAATTTCCTGGATTATCCTTGCTACACTTCTTAAACAAGGGGACAACATTAGCAATTCTCCAGTCCTCCAGGACCTCACCCATGCTCAAGGATGCTGGAAAGATATCTGTTAAGGCCCCAGCTATTTCCTCTCTTGCTCCCCTCAGTAACCTGGGATAGATCCCATCCGGACCTGGGGACTTGTCCACCCTAATGCCTTTTAGAATATCCAACACATCCCCCACTCCTGATGCTGACTTGACCTAGAACACCTTGACCTGGAACACCAGGTCAGAACACCTTCCTTCATGTCCTTTGAACACCTCCACACCTAGATCCTCTCCTCACATGGGCTCCTTTAAGCACAGCCAACCAACTTCCACCAACTTATGCTCCCCGATATCAGATTTCTTTCTCCCTAGCTTACCATTATCTATCCCTTTGTCTACCTAACTGTATTTCTCTGTCTCTACCTATCACTTACTCCTTTGCACCCCACCGCTGTCCCTCCAACCAAATATATTCCCTGTCTTTAGCATATACCACCTTTTCCTAGCTACTCCCAGTTCTGAAGAAAGTCACTGGACCTGAAATGTTAATCTTGCTTTCTCTCAACAGATACTGCCAAACCTGCTGAGTTTCTCCAGCAATTTGTTTTTGTGAAAGAATATAAGGAATCGGAGGAGCAGCCATTTGGCTCATTGAGACTTCTTTGCTATTCAACAAGATAATGGCAGATGTGACTGCGACCTTAAATCTATTTTTGTGACTGTCTCCTCCCTAATCTCATTTTCCTTTGTTAATCAAAAATCTGTCTCAATGGCCCACCTCCAGTGCTCTCTATGACAGAGAATGCCAAAAACTGCCTTTCAGAAACTAAGAAAATTATTCTCATCTCTGTCTAAAATGGGAAGTCCCTTATTATTAACTGTGCTCCCTGGTTTTTGATTCCTATAAGAGAGAATATCCTGTCAACATTTAACTAGTCAAACCACCTCAGAATCTTTTATTTTATGACAACAGTATAGAATATGGCCAACTGATGTTTGAAATCTATTGGCCAATTTAATACCAGGGACTTTCATGGAGCACAATAATTTTAAAATAGAACTAAAAACATTGACTTAAAATGGCTACAGGTTGCACCTCCTCCTCACAGGTTGGCTAAGTTTAATAAAACTAACATGGATTATACAAACACCAGTTGGAGCTTTTACCGAAGGGAACTGAGGCCAATCAACAATCCTCCACATCACTGATGGGAGGTGTTAAAAGATCATTATCTCCCATTTGATTTGCACCTTTATGAGATTCCTCACATGTTGGAATAAAATTATCAAGCCTGAAAACATAATTTCTGCAGATATGGAAGATATGCCTAGCTTGTATTTGAAGGAGCTTTTAGGTCAGAGCAGGGGTGTTGGATTTTTGATAGTGGAATGAACACTGGCTGAAGAAGGTTCTGTCTCTGCCTCTTCAGAAGAAAAGCGCCCAGTGACAACACTGACTATAAGAAAACATCAGGAAGCTGAGGACATTAAAATAACTGCAATATTACCTAACGTTGATTGGTGATGAAATCAACTAAATAATCATGGTCTCAGGTTACAACTTAATGCTTTAAGGACATCCTAAGAGCTGTTTTTTTTTTAAATCTTCATTTTGGACTGGACATGATCCCCTTTTAATTTTGTACAACTGCATCCATTTGTTTGTATGTGTCTGAAGGTGTTTGACACAATAGACTCAGGAGGAAGGTTATAGTTCATGGAATAAAAGGGTCAGTAGCAACATGATATAAAATTGGACGAGTATCAGGAAACAGAAATTAATGGTCACTGGTTATATTTTGGGGCGGAGGAAGGTTTGTATTGAAGGTCCCCAGGTATTGGAACCTTTGCTTTTCTAAATAAATATTAATGATCTACATGTTGGTGCGCAGGGGACAATTTCAAAGTGTGCAGACGATGTGGAACATGGAAGAATTGTAGAATGTGAAGAGAACTATAGAACTCTGAAAGGATATTGACAAGTTAATAGAGTGAGCAGATAGGTGGCAGATGGGATGAGGTTCAAAGCAGAGAAGTGACAAGTGATGCACTTTGGTTGGAAGAACATTGAAAAGGGGAGCAGGAGCTCAGGTATCTATGTGTGCAAATCTTTGGAGGTGGAAAGACAGGTGGAGAGATCAGTAAATAAAGTGCTCTCTTCTTGATTGATACATAGAGTACAAAAACAAGGAACTTGAAGAAGACACTAATTAGAAGACACTATAGTATTGAGTAAAGTTCGAGGTGGGGGGGGGACAGGGGTTGGTCACACTATCAGAAGGATGTAAATGTTTTGGAGACTATGCTGAAGCAATTTACAAGAATAGTTCAGGGATGAGGAATTTCAGGTAAGAGGATAAATTGAGGTGATTGGAACTGATTCTCCTTGGAAAGAAAAAGACGAAGAGAACACCAGATAGTAGTTTTCAAAATCAATGCAGGGGCTGAATAAAGTAAAGAGGGAGAAGCTATTACCACTCATAAAAG